AAAAAAAAAAACAAAACAGACTCAGCAGCTCCTATCGGTATCACTACCTCAAAATAAAAGGAAAAAAAAATTCTACAGCATGCGCTTATTCTGGGAGAAAATGTGTTAAGCAACAGAACGGGAAAACAAGAGGCAGGTACAGCACACTCTGCTTCTATATTTACGCTTTATGCTCTGGGGAGCTGACGGGTTTTCTAGAAGGGCTAACTTCAGCCTTCTGTGTACTATTTTCAGCTTCACCTCCTGTAACACAAAGTCTACTATGAATAATAGATGAGGTCATTCGAAAGACATCACCTTTACTAATACTCTATTAATAGATATTTTGGAGAACTTATATTTTACTACAAACAAAAAGAAATGGCTAACCTCATCTTATACATGATCAGTTTTATAAATGTTTTTAATGTGAAGAGCTTATCTGATGATAACTGCAAACCCTGAGGGCAAAGAGAAGTAGGCAGTGTGGAGCAGCACTCGCCAATACACTAAGTGACTGAGCCACAGCTGAACAGCCGAGGCCGACTTGTGTCCACTTGGGCTCACTGAGATACTTCGGGCTCAGGATACCATGTGACAGTCATTTGAGTCTAATCGCTTTGGATACTTTCCATGGTGATGGAAACTCAATGTGACCAGCACCTTTATAGTTTACTGAAATGTAACTCAAATATTGTGCTCATTTTTACATGATGTTTAAAGCTGTGAAGAGTTAAAATGATATTTACACTGTACACAATTTGCTCATAAGGAGAATCTCAATGGCATCAGTCCTTTTCAAATTTGGGAATGAAGAACAAAGACTAAATGCAGAGCAAGTGGAAGACAGGGGTATAAGGAGAACACAAGTTTAAGAAGGAAAATACAGGAAGAGAAGTTACACACATTTAACAATCCTCTGTTCAAGCAAGCCTAAACTACGGACCCCTGTAAACTTGACTATCTGTGGCAACCTGACTGATTTCACTTATTTAATTAAACATTACGTATTCACATCTAATACTTTAATTACTACATGTCTAAAATGAAAGGGACCTAACAGACATATGATCTAGGAATAAAGAATCAATGTTGATCAAATAGCTTATTCTATCCTTCCCCCTAAGGCCAGGACTACAGACAGGATCTCAATAGTCTGGTGAAAAAGAAAGCCAGATGGGAAGAATCCAAATCTAGAAGCAAAGCGGGGGAGGGGCGACCAGGGATGCAAAGCCTGCATAGCCTCCTGTGGTCACACTGTCCTGGCCCTCCTGTGGTCACTAGAACTTAAAAAGTGAACATGGGACCAGAAGTGGAAAAAAGCAAAGACTATGGACCCTCGCAAGCAGAAGCTGGACCAACACAATCTAGTTTTCAGACCTGGGAAACACAGCAGAGAAGGAGGAGCTTGTGCCCATGAGAAGGAAGAGAGAGGGAAAGCTACTAAAAGTATCAGAATAATCTATGACTGGGTACTCTTTCAAAATTCCCAGTGACAAACACTGCACTTAACCCGGGCACAGCCCAGAAGGAAACATTCTGAGGTATCAGAAGGAAAACTAATGGAAAGGGGCTGACAAAAACAAAAAGATAATAAATGGACCCTAATGAGAAAGAATTCCATCTTCTGCTACATGTCTGGCTTAATGAGAAATTGCTGACCCAGGCCAGTTGACAGATTGGAGAATAGTTTTCTTTTGAAATCACACATATAAGAAATGTTTACCAAAGGGGGGAAAAAAAGAAAAAGAAAGGAAGGAAGGAAGAAATGTTTACTTACAGAACATTTTGGAGGGATAAAATAAAATGTTTTTGACAGAATTTTTTCAACCCATATTGTTCTTCATTTTAATTTTGTGTCACTGCAAGAGCTCTCAGAAATCCAGATATGAGCACAAGTCACCTCTTTCATTCAACCATCAAGTATTAAAGAGCGGTTTTGCAGCAAGCGCCATACTTCTTTAGTATGAGAAGCATGTCCTACTGTAACTGGAACTCTAAATGTGAAGAGCTAAGTGAACTACAATATTTATTAAATACCATTAGAAAGCCTCCAGACTTACATCCACTGTTCTGGAAACAAAGCTGGCATATGAAATATGAGTTAAGTGAATGAAGACATATAAACATAAAACTACTAAGATTATTTTAAAAATTAAAAGCATAACTAACAAGGAAGTGAGTGTGAAACGGGGATAAATGATAGCTGTGCACGAATTACAGACACACATACAATCTTTACAACTTAGAAAGTGGCCTTAGCTATGGCCAAGACCAAGGACACATGAGCTAGACTCCTGTGCTGACAATCCCTCCTTTGCCCCAAAAGCTGCCGTATGAATCCGACAAGTTTCTTAGTCACTTGCTGCCTGTGGAACATCATCTATGAAATGAAGGTGAGTATGCTAACGTGTTAATAAGGTGCTACAACAGTAATATAAGAGGCACTAATATAAGAGACCACGAGGTGCTTGGCCATTACCATGAGTGTCAATGACTATGAACTAGCACAAGCTGGAGGTAAATCTACAACATCTAATCTAGAGTTTTACACTGATGTTGATTTTAAATAATAATAAAAAAGGGCTCTGAAAAGAATTCCGAAGGTGAATGAGCAAAGTGTACCTAGCTCCTCTTAAATGGGGTAGGGTGCTGTGGCAAGTCATGGTCCATGAGCGCCCATCACCCTAGGTGATGCTTCCCCTCCATTACTGTTACACACGAGCACAACGACGATAAGCCACACACTTCTGTTTGGGGAAAGTTAAGCTTATCACATGACGATGCATTCAAGAATGAAGTGTGTACAAATTTGGAAAAATTCTAGTTAAGTGCATAAAATTCCTAAGCAAGACACCACTGGCTTCAAGTGACTGAAGCAAGACAGGCAACGGCTACTCACTTTCGCTGGAGCAGAAGGCAGTAGTCCACTATGACTGGGACGGTGTCCTGGAAGAAAGCAGAAGGAGCGTCAGCCCTGACCCACAGCCCACTGGGAAAGCAAAGGTCAGCTTTGCTGTGTGACTGCGGTGTGACGCAACTCCGAGCGTGCTGGCAAGAAGGTGGCACTCTGTCCCAGCAGTCTCAGGAATAAACACTTTGACCCAATATCTCCTGTGAATTCATCTCAAATGTAGGGAGGGAAGCTTCTTTTTAGATTTTAGTTTTGCTTTATGTGCATGGTTGTTTTGCCTGCATGTATATCTATGCACCACATGCGTGTAGCCCAGAGAGGCCAGAAGAGGGTGTTGGATCAACTAGAGGTGAATTTACAGACCTATGTGCACTGCCATGTGGGTTCTGGAAATCAAACTCCAGTCCACTGGAAGAACAGCCTATGCCCTTAACTCCTGAGTCATCTATCCAGCCCCCCCCACCAAAAAAAGTTTAAATCTATTTTAGGTACGTATTGTACTTATATAACAGAAGGAGAAGGCAATTGGAGAGAGAGAAAAGCAATTAAGAAATTATATTAAATTCAATATATTACATGAAAAAATAGTCAAGTAAAAATTTCCATTTAAATATAGTTTTATCTATAAGACTGTAAAGAGTTTACAACAGCATTAAAATAAACAATAGGTATCAAATTGAAAATACATTAAGTCCTGGTGGTGCTTCAGGTGATTAAGTTAACTGTGTTTTTGCCATCATGTTCTAAACTAACTGTATAGTTGCTTTAGCTTCTCAGTTTCATATTTCTGAGTTCATCATGTATTGTCTCATATCAAGTAAGGGGTAATTCATAATTCTGGCCTTTTTCAAATAGTGGCTTATTATGGCAGGGGACCTAACAGCCTCAGCTTGCAATGGTAGGTTTTCGTCCCCCAGACAGCATACCTACACCCAAATGGCCTAGAAACTAGGCAGAAGAGCATCACATGTGTGAGTCCACACTTTACTGGACAGAGGTCAGAGGTCACAACAGGAAAACCTTCTTACTCAGAGTGAGGACTCTGAGGAGAACCTGCAATCCTGAAAGACATTTCGATGTGACCATACAAGAACCTAGCTGTGACAGCAAAATGTCAAAAATACAGAGAAACAATACCAAATGCTGTAAGGGAAACGCTCCAAATGACATATAATCAAACATCAGAGTGACATCCGATCTGTCACCAACACTGAGAGCCAAGAAAACATGTCTATATATTTCAAGCACTGAAGAGTAACTGTTAACTAAGACTGCTACATGAAGCCAAGTTCTCTCTTAAAACTGATGGAGAAATGAGTGCTTCCAGAACAAATTAAGGCAATTCATGATAACTGAGCCAGCACTGTGGAAAATGAGAAAAATTGTTTCCCCCAAAAGCACACAGGAGAGAATGCATTTCGTAAGAAAAACAGATAATAGAGCACAGCAAGGATGGACTCAACCAGCAAACAAATGAGAAAGAAAAAAACTACCAGTAATTCACCCAAATACAACCACCAACAAAACCATAGGAAACAGCAAAGCCCACCTCAACAATAATCTTATATGCAAAAGGCCTTACCTAACCAATTAAGACTCAGAGAAAGAGGCTAGGTTAAATAAATAAACAAAAATAAAGACAAGATCTAGGGCTGGGGAGATGGTTCAGTACTTAAAACACTGGCCACCCAACTGTGAGGCCTGGATCCTTAAAACCCTTGCCAAGGCTTATGGGCGTGGTAGCCCAGTTGTAATCGAACATTAAAGCCAAGATAGCCACATCAGTGATCTTCAGGCTCAACTGAGAGATCCTGCCTCCATGAGCAAGATGGAAGACCAGGAAGACTCCCCACATCAAGCCTAGGCCTTCACCCAGAAACGCATACATGCCCACACATGCACAAGGCACATGCACCACACACATAGGCACAGAGACATAAAAACAGTGTATGTTGTCTCCAATGACCCATGCAACTAGCAAAGAAGGCTAAAACCTGGGAGTCAGAGGGCAGAAAGCAACATACCAAGCAAATGGAAGCTATAAGCAAGCTGGCTTAATGGTTTCCACATCTGACAGAGCAGATAGCAAACCAAAGCTAGTCATTAGAGACAAAAAGAGAGAAACGCGTAAAGAAAGGGAACAGCTAATGACAACTAAGGCAAATAGGCACCAACTCCTTGGATCCACTGTGTTGTCCTCTGACCTCCACACATGCACTGTGGCACACATGCACATGCAGACCCACCCTGACTACACACAAGCAAGCAAACAAATAAATAAATGTAATTAAAAATATTTTTAATTAAAATAATTCTTTGTTTCTTATCGGACCACAAGGGAAACCAGGATTCGACAACAAGAGAGAGCTCAGAAAGGACGTAAATACGTGAAGACTGAACAACACTGCTAAGGGAACAGTGGTCCACTGAAGAAACTGGAGAGGGAAGTCAAAACCTGCTAGAATCAAATGGAAATGACGACACACTCTACCAGCCAAGCACACTGACACCAAAACTCAGAGAGATTGCAAAGTAAGCAACTGAGCAATACACCCCAAGGTTCTACAACAGTAAAAAGCCACCAAAACCAAGTAAGGAGACAACAAGACATAATAACGATTGAGGCAGAAATTAATGAACAGAGAGTAAACGAATAGAATATAAGCAGGTCATGGTGGTGCACACCTGTAATCCTAGCACTTAGGGAGGCAGAGGCAGGTGGATTGCTGTGAGTTGAGGCCAGCCTGGTCTACAAAGTGAATCCAGGACAGCTAGGGCTACACAGAGAAACCCTGTCTCAAAAAAAAAAAAACAAAAAAAAAAAACAAAAACAAAAACAAAACAAAATCCAAAAAGAATGAAATACAAAATCAACCACAGCCAGTTCTTTGAAAAAATATTTATAAGATTTACAATTCCCTAGCCAAACCAACCAAAACCAAGACAAACAATAACCAAATTTATGAAATTACAGACGAAAAAGAGCTGTTACCAATGAAATACAAAAGATCACTATGGACCACTTCGAAAATGTATACTCTCTAAAGTAGAAACGCCTGAAGAAATGTGTTCATTTCTAAGTGTGTACAACCTGTCCCAATTAAGGCCAGATGCTACTATCAATTTACACAGACCTATAAGGAGCAATGCGAATCAAACTGTGGTGAAAAGTTCCCCACAAGCTCCAGCCCACAAGGCATCAGTCTGAATCCTACCAAGCTGCTAAGGAACATCTTCCAAGACTTCTGAAACTGTTTCACTAACTGCGGAAGTCATTCTGAGAAGTTGGTGTTTCCAACAGCAAAGAAGGACACATGTACACATCACACACAAGCAAAACAAAACACAAAAGACAACAACAATTTCCCTGATGAACACAGGAGCAAAAGGAAAGACTGCAGACTAGGGAAGACAGCAGGCTATTCCTATCTGGAAGATGATGTAGATAACAGACTTTGTCAAGTCCACCAGAAAACTGCTACATCTGACAACACTTCCAATACAACTGTAGGAGACAAGATCAGCTGTTATATACAGCAATAATGAATTTGCTGAGAAGGAAGTTAGAACAAATGCTCCATCCACAACTGAAGAAAAAAAAGGAGTCAACATAACCAAGAAGGTAAAGGCCTCCACAACAAGAATGTTCAGACATAGAAAAGAAATCAAACACCAGGTACTGGAGAAGTCTGCCATGTTCTTGATTGACAGAATGAATATTGTGGAAATGGCTCTATTACTATAATCTGTGTAGTACAGATTCAATATAATACCTTCAGACTTCCAATGGCTGGCCCTTAGAGAAAGGTACAATTACTAAACAGCATTACATACTTCAAGAGAAAAATGAGGTTGCTGGAAGCAGGCACAGAGCGCCACCTGCTGGCAGAATGCAAATTAGCACTACTGACATTTCAACTAGTTAGGTTGGTTTTTCTGTTTCCAATAATAGCTTATTTTTAAAATTTGTTTTTTCTTGAGGCAAGCTAGCCTTGCACCTTTGATTTTTCTAACTCAGATTTCTAAGTAGTAGTAGTAAAGATTAAAGTACAACAAACCGTGTAAACACCGACAAAGTCAAATTATCTCACCCAACAACAAAGGAAGCCTTTTAAAAAGTAGTGCTCCTAAGAACTGTGCGTGCATGGAGAAAGCCGCTCCCAGGACATAAAGCCATCAGAGGGGATCCCAGGGGTGTGGGAGGTGGCTAAACAGGTAAGTGCTTGCCACGCAAGCATGAGAACTGAGTACAATGCCCAGCACCCATGTAAAAGCTGGGCATGGCAGGATATATGTAACCCCAGCACTGGAAAGACACAGACAGGAGGATCCCCGGGGATTGCTACCCAGCCAATCAACTCAAATCACTGAGCTCCAGGTTGAGTGAGAGACCCTGTCTCAAAAAATAAGGTAGGGAGCAATTGAAGAAGACACCCAGTATCAATCTCTAGCTTCCACATGCACACACCCACACATGTGCACAGACTCAGAAACAGACACACGTAGAAACACAGACGTACACAGAGAGAGACAGACACACAGAGAGAGAGAAACAGAAAGCAAGCAAGGAAGAAGGGAATCTCAGTGCCAAGAATGGACCATGTCCTTATGAGCTGTTGGCCAGAAAGGCCCTTTTAAAGACTATGGCCACTGCTGCTGATTGGCCATGGGTATTAGATGGTAAGGCCCTACCATGCAAGACACCAGATGCTTTGGTTGCAGGCCAGACAGAAACAAAGCTGAATTGAGCAGACGTGTCCTCCCTGCTGGCATTTCACAGTGCTAGAATGTACTGTCCAGGCTGCTGGAGAGAACGGTCATCGATGGCCTTACTCAGCTGTGGGCCCTCGAGTTCTACTAGGGGCCAGGCAGTTGAGGTGCACCCACTGTCGTAACTATGGGGATGAGCAGTTTTTCTAACTGGAGTTGAGGCCTGCTCCACAGGAGGGGATTTACTTCTGGTACAGTAAAGCTGGTCAGAAGTCTGCTCCTGAGGAAGCTACCTACTACTGTCGTTTTGCTAACTGGGCATGAT